GCGCATGCACACTGGAGGGGTCACACATTGCATTATGGGTGCGGCACACCCGCACACGACGCTCCCCCCACTTATGGCACGCGAACCAAAAAAGGTTCGCTATCGCTGCTCTGGGACATATTTTGAAGGCTATTAGCGCTCTAGTTGGAAAGCAAATAAAACTATCCCATTCAGTTCAAAACCTGAACTGCATCAAAAAGTAATCAGCAACATTACTCAACAGAAAGAAGAGCCGTGAAAGTGATTTTTCTCTCCCCTGTATATATCACTAACCGCTATAACAATTTGCAATTGCTATGTAAAAATAGGGGCACGGGAAATGGGTGGAAAGAGAGAAATGGGTGGAGAGAGAGAAATGGGTGGAAAGAGAGAAATGGGTGGAAAGAGAGAAATGGGTGGAAAGAGAGAAATAAAACTAAGAGAGATGGCAATTTCTATTGCTACACAATAGTACAAGAACCATCTTTTTCTCCTTTATCAATGGCTTCATATTGCAACATTACAACCACAAATTCTAGGTAAGCTTTTTTCTAAAGCATCTTTCTGCTGTATGACGTGGCTACAGTAATAAACCTGCTCTATTAAAGAGTTTCTAAATTTACCTGTATGAGTTTCTTTGCTCTTTGGTGCATCATTTTGCTTTTTCCAGCGCCTGTTCTTATACCCTTCTTGAAGAAGTGGTTTCCTCCCATCACGTGTAGTTGCTTCACAGAACGGCTGTTTCTCTGCTGCGGTCACTAAGTTTGGACCTCTTTCTTGCAGCACAGATTCTTTCCTCTTCTCACTGGCGCGTTCTCTGGGAGGATGTGGAAGGGATGCATTCTTAACGTGTTTTGCGTTTCTACTTCTGGGTGTATCTTGTTTTTTGCCAATTTCTTTATTCCAGGCAGGTTCCCTGAAATGCCTGTTTGCAAAAGGGTATTTTCTCCTTGCAATGCTATTGTCAGAAAAGCCATCGGATACCGTTTTCCCAACAGATGTTTCAGATGAATCTGATTGGGTCAGATCTACTGCTGGAATATTTTCAAAAGCCTTGTCCTTCCACTTAGTTGGTATTCTTTTCTCTCTTTCAGATGAGTGTTTCTCTTTTTCTTTCAATCCTCTTCCACGTGAATGCATCAGATATGTCTTCTTCGGCTTTGCTCCTCTGTTATTTGCAGTAGCAGCTTCTTTCTCACTGTCTGAAGACAAATCGCTGTATTGTCTATGATTCATCCTACGCCCTACAACTAATCTAGTGTTTAAACACGGAGAATCCTCTGTGCTCCCTACAGGTATTTGCTTCATTTGATTTTTCCCATGTGATCGATCATTCCTTGATCGTTGCCACCGCTGACCATGTAAGCTATTGCTTTTAGTTTTACCAATACTATAAAACCGTGAAGAATTTGGCTGACATCCATGCTGGCTTTCTGGGCTGTAGAAAGCATTATGATCTGTAACTGAATCTTCACATTTACTATGTCTAGGTTGAACAGAAGAAGGTAAAGAATTTCTGCTTGAATCACAATCAAATCCCAGCCTGGATTGGTTGCTCCAAGTTGAATTGAAAATCTGTCTTTCTCTTGGAACAAAATCAGTTGCATCTGGATTTAAGACACCTAAGAAAAAGGAAAACATATACTATGAAACAAGCATATTCAGTGAAGACACTTTAATCAATTGGAGCAAATGATGTAGAAGCTATTCATCACTTTTAGAAAAAGATGGTGAGCCAATAGAGAATATGCATTTATTATCAGACAGTTGTTTTCCTTAAACCACAATAATACCACTTTCCCAAACAACAGTAAGACACAGCAATTACAACAGCCCTGTTTTAAAAAGCAGTATAGTGATCATCTTCATTAATACTGTGGTATGTTATTAAACATTTTGTAAGCAAGTCGTCTTGAAATATCATATCTAACTTGTTTTTCAAGCTGTAGCCCAGTGTTAAACTCTCCATGAACATCTTGCTGTTATTTTAGGAGAGCAATTATTCTTTTAATCACAATTAGTAATTCCTACCTGGCAACGACTCTGAAAATATGAATGCATAAAGCTAAAATTTTTAAAAGAAAGCATTTATTAAACCCAGGCTGCTCTTTGCAAAGAAAATAAATCTGGAATAATTATACATTTCGTTTCAAACCATCGCCGTGGCTTGACTCCAGAAAAGGAGGAAAAATATATTTTCGGAGCTTCCGGGAAGAACGTTGAACAGTCTTTCTACAGTCTTCATCTTTCCAAATTGCAATCTCTGTTTGCACACACAAGACAAAAACCAGCTTCTCCATATCATGCCATGCAATTGGAAATAAGCCTAATTCCTTAGGGTGACCTCTGAGTTGGTATTTTTGAAGTTTTTTTTTACAAGCATTCCGGTCTTGATTATTTTGCTGTGCCCCACTGGCAAAATCATCTGGACTGGATAGTCAGGATGCCTCCCCCCCCCTCTTTTATATTATATGAGCGTCACATCTGTTGATGCAAGATGCATTGCAGCAGCAGCAGAGCCCGGCTGGAAATTGAATATTCATTCCTCTCTCCCGCATATGTTTAAGCACGACACACACATTCCCGGGTGTCTCTCACCTGGGAAATAAATGCACGCCGTTTTAATCGCCTTGCTCATTGCAACGTTGAAGAACTGCGCCTGATCCAGAACAGGCGAGGATGAATGAGAAGGGAATGCAATCAACAAGGAAGGCAATTCTTGCTCTCTCTCTCTTAAGTCCCACTGCAGTCAAGGGAGGCAAGAACTTGTCCCCGTCTCCTCCTCCAGGCCTCGGGGAACCTCAGCTTTACCGAGAAGGGACCAAGAGCCGGAATGCCCGAAGAGTCCAAGTCTTTTTCCCCCCCTTTCCGGGAACGGGACGGGAAAGTCCCACGGTCTGCCTCTTCTTCTGGTTTTCCCACACTCGTCCCAGGACCGTGGGAATTCCCCCCTTCCTCTCTTTCTTCTCCTTCTTCAGAGTCCCCCCCTCTTACCTGAGTTTGGCGGGGCCGCCTCCGCCATGCCTCGCGCCGAGCCGCGCTCTCCCAACCGACCCGCCACCTCGAGCAGACCGAGCTCCCCGCCCTTCCGCGAAGCCTACTCCGAAGCGCTCCTACAGCCGTCGTCCCCCTCTGAGAACGCGCATGCGCCGTGCTCAGCCGGCCTCCCCACCCCTCCCCTCTTCTTCGCCTCACGTCACCCTCCGGGCGGCCCTCGGCTCCTCCATCCCGTTGCTGTGTGGTCCCCACCTGGTAGAGCGGGGGAAAGGTGTGTAGGCTGGCTGTGGTTTCGACGGCCGGTGTTGGCAGAAGAGGGCAAAGGGTGCTTGTAGCCAGCCTGCCCTGCCCAAAACGAGGCCGCAGGGAAAAAAATAGGGAATGCCATAAAGGCAGTGATCTCCAACCTTGGCAACTTTAAGACCTGTGGACTTCAACTCCCAGAGTTCCTCAGCCAGCAAAGCTGGCTGAGGA